ATTCAAAATATTAGGAGAGAGAAGAGTAACTTTTTCTAAGAAATGACAAAATTAAGAAAAATATAAGGACGGTACATTTCAATTAAAACATATAAGTAACAAAAAATTAAAATGACAAGGCTAGAAATCTTAGAACCTACATTAGTGCCTAAATAACATAGAACAAATAAAACATGCATGGAAAGTAGAAACATTCTTGCAAATAAGTAAAATAAAAGGAAAAAATAAACAAGTAAATTATTGCAAGACTTATCATCATCATTAATGTGGTTATAGGCATAGTCTAATAATAAATTCATATTCATCTCCACTTCAATGTTAGGGTCTAAAATTTGTATCCCTACCCTAAATTAAAAACACAATATATACCACTTAAAAGGGATAATATACTTCAGAGAGATCGGTTTAAATGTAGGCAAGGTAAATGAGTTGCAATAGGTTCTAATTTTATGAACTTTTTTCTTCCTTGGATTATGAGTTCTTGGTGTACATATCACCAGAAATAATGATTATTGAGAAATGCTAGCGTCATTCTTTTGTCACTCTTTTTATCATGACTTAGCATTTATGTTAATTATTAGTAAGTTTTTAACAATATTATTACATCTGAGACTTTGAATGACTTGCTGGAAAAATAAAATGAACCATCTATAATAAAGAAAAAGAGACAGAGAAAAATATAGCAATGGAAGAAATTAATACATGTTACAACTAATCTACTAAACACTAACGTTTTTTTTCTTTTTCTTTTTTTTGTTTTTTTGGAGAAAGTACTATAAAAAAGGCACTGATAAGAATGTGGGGCCTTGTTGAAGGGTGAGGCCTAAGGCAGAGGCCTCAGCTGCCTTACCCTTCAGCCGGTCCTGACTATAACATCCTCAAAATTCTCCAACACAGTAAGTAATGTTTATAAGATTAAGCAAGGGACATCAAACCAATACATTGCACAGTTAGTGTTTATTACAGGATTTATTGGACAACTTAGGCCCATTTGGCATTGCTTTTAGACGCTACTTTTAACTTTTTTAAAGAAGCTACGTCGGTGTTTGATAAATACTGTTTTTGTCCAGTAATTTTTAAAAACTATTGTCAAACAGCAAAAATTTGAGAAACAGTTCATGTGTTGCTTTTACAAGTTGTTTCTACTCTCATTATCCAAATTTACTAAAAGAATCTTAATAACAAAACTTAATTCTCAATTTACTCATTTTATTGTTTCATACCAAATTAAAAAATATATATTATCAATATTGATCTAAAAGTTAAAATATTTTATATATATGTACTATACTAAATTTTTCTCAAATATTTTTTACAATTATCAAAATGTTTAAAATAACAACAATAAATTAATAATTTAACAATTTATTTTTTACAAAAATTTTAAATAATAAATTAAAATCATATATATTTTTTAGTATTTTTGATATAAAATACTATAAATATTGACCTCAAAAATAGAAAAGAAACTTTTTTTAAGGAAAAGAATAGAAATGAAACTAACTATAAATATGTGTGCTAAATTATGTTTGTTTTAGTCATTATACATTTTCACAATAATTTTATACTTAGTTTAACAAATACTTAAATTTCTGCTTTTGGTATTCACAGTAGTTTTGAAAAAAAAAGAAAAAATTACCAAACAACTAAATGCTTATGGTCACAATTACTTCTAACTAAAAGCACATCAATAACAAAAATTTTTAACAGCGCACAGCAATGCTAAACTGGCTCTTAAAGCGGGTTGGAATTACCATTTGATGATAGTTGACTAATAGAAAATCTTTCAGGATATTAGAATAGATTTTAAATGTATTCCAATCATAGATGAAGAAATAAAGAAATAAAGAATGTTGTATCTAACCTTATCTATTCCGTTATGAAATACTTTGCACATGACCTTCATTGACCAAAGATAGAAGTACGAACTTTTAGCAAATTTACAATGCGAAGAACGTTCAGATTTTAGGAGGTACGAAAACACATTCCTAAGATTTGACTTGGGATGTAATCCAAGGATCACATTTCCTTAACCTCTTGATCAATCCAAACGTCCTCATGTTTCTCTAGGCCACTGATATTATGTATATAATATTTGAAGGTTAATGTTGTAAATTCGCAGCATTATAATATTGTTGTAAGATCTATTTTGTAATTGTATAATAACCGCTACGATACATGCTTGGGAGGACAATATTGTAATAACAATTCCAAAAACAATATATTATATGCGATAGAGTAACAGAGCAACTAACAAGGCGGAAAACAGAAGTAATGAGCTAATCGCTTGCCTTCTTTTGGTAAAACACAATGTCGTTTATGGAAGGTAAAATTACCTTTGCGCTTCCCAGACCATTTAGAACGACTGATGTGGACTTGGCTGGATCATGCCTATAAAGCCCAGAAGAAGGGATCATCGTATCTGTATTATTTTATTTTATTTTTTATTTTTTGCTAAATAACATATTTACTGCAATCAACAATTTCAATACAAGAACTCAAGAAGCATCATATCTGTAGATTTTGTTCATGCGTGACGACCACAATCAGATCCTTCCATGTCAGTCTTGCAGAAACATTTCCAACAACGTCAAAATTAGTCATCCTCTCTCTCGTTAAGTACATGAGTTGAGATTTTTATTTTTTATTTTTTAGTATTAATATAGTTATTTAACTAAAAATTATATTAATTAAGAGTACAGATAAAAATCAAGACACATACACTTCTTTTAAGGAGTACTTATCAAAATTTCTCCATCTCCTTCCAAAGCGTCTCGATCAAAGGGCTCAAACCACACCCTAAAAGCATGTCTCCTGCCGGCTTTCCCGCAGCAAAACGATTGGAGACCGAAGTCAAGGTAGAGAAAAACAGAGATGGGTGACTATACTTTTTTTCGTTCCTTTCTTTTAGTACAAGGCTAATACCAAAATAAAATATTAGAGCATCTCAAATATTGTTATGTTATAATTAATGTGCTAATTATAAATTTAACACACACTCTCTAATGTAATACTATTTATTATGTTAAATTTGTTATATGATATGCGATATGAAAATTTTGGCACTTGATTCCTATCAGTTGATATGGTCACTTTTTATTTAATCATTACACTTTTTGTTTTTTAAAATTATTTTAAAATTAAAAGTTTACTTATATCTTTCAAAGCTTAATAATTATAAGAAAAGTACATTAACATTTTAAATAGCATTATGTATTAGAATACAAATGAAAATAACATGTGTTATCATAACTTTTTAATGTTAAATATACATTTAACATAACTTTTGTATTGAAAATGGTCTTAGGGCTCGTTTGAGATAGCTTGTCCTTACACTTTTAAGTAGTAGAAGAAGATAAGCTTAAGTTTGTGCTTTTTAATTAGTGTTTGGACCAAACAGTGCCTGAAAAAGTGTTTTTATATCTAAGAAGAGCTTTTAAACCTGTTTAGGTAAAAAAAGTCGAAAGCACTTATTATTATAAAAAGTAATGTAATAAAAAGATATGGATGAAATATTTAATTTATTGTTCATTAATAAAAGGTTAAAAATGTAAATAACAAAAATTTATAAGCACTTTTTTTATAAGCATCAAGGAAATTATTTATTCCAAAAGTGCTTAAAAAAATTAAAAATACTTTAAAATTATTCATAAAAACAGATTAAAAAATGGCGTTTGAATTAAATAAGTTAAAAGCAGCATCTTTCAGTTTGAGCGGGAAGTAGAGTACCTGGGCAAGAATTTCAATTATGTAAAGCTATTTTTTGTATTCACCTTTACTTTTTAATTCTAAAAGCTAGCTTTTCACGATATTAAAGTATGAAAAAAAAAAAAAAAAAAAAAAAAAAAAACAAAAGCTAGCTTTTCACGATATTAAAGTATGAAAAAAAAAAAAAAAAAAAAAAAAACCGATACTAAGAAAATGCTTTGACCCTTTAACATTTTGGGGTTGTTCTTTTGAAGTGTAACTTGAGTGTAGTTTTTGAGTTAAATTTAAGTTATAACTTGAGTTGAAGTTGTAACTTGAATAAAGTTGAGTAAAGTTGAATAAAGTTAAAACTTAAAAGAACATGAACTTAAATAAAGTTGGAACTCGAGTTGTCTTTTTTTGAGTTTTTTAGACAAAAGAACATGCCTTTAATTTCCCACAAACACGGAATTTGTAATGGTTTTGTAGTGGTTTTGTAATGGTCTTGTTATCAATTGATCAAACTTATCCACTAATTGTACGCAGTGTAAGTATTTGGAAGAGCAATTGCCAGGGTTCTTTACAAAATTAGAAAGGAGTACAAAACTTAATGGTGATTTCGGTTTGCGGTGATGAAGATGGCGCTATCCTAGGGTGTGCTGTGTCAAAAAGAGTACAAAATTAGACTCCAGACTTATAGAAAATGCGAGAAAGGTATCCATGACTAGATACTGAGCGTTATCTTTGTCAAACATCCAGTCGTAGAAAAAGCGATATGTTGGTCACAAAAGCACATTTAGGTCGGTGACACAAAACAAAAGTGATCAATCTTTGACAAAAGCCACACCCCATCTCTAGTGCCCTTCAGGTCATTACAGCTACAAATATATATATATATATATATATATATATATATATATTGGACGGCAAATAAAGCAAGGGCTATCGAACTGTGAGAAATGAGAATCTTCAGTGTGTGAATTAAAGCAAAGTATTATCCCAATAAGTAAAGTAGAGGAAAAACATTAAAAAGAAACAAGTCTATGTATAAAGCTTCTTGCTCATCACGTTAAGCACCTTTATTTTTCTTGTCACCAGTACCCCATCGTTTTATATATATTGGACGGCAAATAAAGCAAGGGCTATCGAACTGTGAGAAATGAGAATCTTCAGTGTGTGAATTAAAGCAAAGTATTATCCCAATAAGTAAAGTAGAGGAAAAACATTAAAAAGAAACAAGTCTATGTATAAAGCTTCTTGCTCATCACGTTAAGCACCTTTATTTTTCTTGTCACCAGTACCCCATCGTTTTCCTCTTCCTTTATGGTGTATGTATATACAACTAAGAATTCCAATAATCTCTCTTTTTTCCATTTTTATTATTTTTCCACCAGAATATTAAGTAAATAACACAACTAAGAAAACAAAGCTCTCTCAAACATTATACTATAATATACTTCCTGTCTATATACTATGACCATGCAAAATCCTCTCTCTCTCCCAAAAACCACCAATATCATTGGCATTATAGTACTAGTACAATAACAGAAGTACAGCTATTTTATTTTAATCTCGAGTACTGATTTTCTCTCCTCAACCTCGGACAATGACGACAATAGTGCAGAAATTAATAGTCGAAGTTGTGGACGCCCGGAATCTTTCTCCAAGAGACGGGCACGGCACGTCGAGCCCGTACATGATGGCCGACTACTACGGCCAGCGAAAGCGAACCAAGACGGCGGTCCGTGATCTAAACCCGACGTGGAACGAGGTTTTGGAGTTCAATGCCGGGAAGCCCTCGGAGGTTTTCCAAGACGTCCTCGAGATTAACGTTTTTCATGATAAAATCCACGGCCCCACCAGGCGGAGCAACTTCCTCGGAATGCTCCGATTGAGCTCCTCCCAGTTCGTCAAGAAAGGTGAGGAGGCCTTGATCTACTTTCCTCTCGATAAGAAACGCTTTTTCAACTTTGGCATTCAAGGCGATATCGGCTTGAAAATCTACTTTGCCGATGAAATCATTCCGCCGCCGCCTCCGCCTGAACCGGAGGCGAAGGCTGAGCCAACACCACCTCCAGAAGCTCCGGCTGAACCCGCTACCGAGTCAAATCCTCCAGAAGCTACAGCCGAGCCCGCTACTGAGTCAAAACCTCCAGAAGATGCCTCAAAAGAACCCGAAAAGATCGACGCGCAGCCAGAACCTCCACCGGAGCAGCTGGCGCCAGTGCCAGAAACTAAAAAAGACGGCCGAGAATTGCCGGTTGATCAGCCTGAAGCTGATCATAAGGAAGGAGGTAGTATTCCATCTCCGCCACCGCCACCACCTCCGCCTCCCATGGCCATGCATGCCATGCAAGTTGAGGCCGAGCTTGATATGATGGCGGCTTCTGTTTGCAAAAATTCGATGCCGGAGGTGAAGTTCACGGGGGGAATTAACGGTCCAAGGCCAATCAGGAGGCCGTTTTCCGGCGATCTTCAGTTCGGAATCTCCTCCGTTGCTTCCATGGAATGTTCGTCGTTCGATCTCGTGGAGAAGATGCACTACCTGTTCGTGAGAGTGGTGAAAGCCAGATCGCTCCCCACCAATATTGGAAATCCGATCGTGAAGATCGCCGTCTCCAACAACCACGTCCGATCCAAACCCGCAAGAAAAACGATCTTCTTCGAGTGGGACCAGACCTTTGCCTTCCCCCGCGAATCACCGGAATATTCCTCCTCATCCATTCTGGAAGTCTCCGTGTGGGACCCATCAGACATGGGACATGAACAGAACTTCTTGGGAGGAATCTGCTTCGATACGACGGAAATCCTCCTGCGGGACCCACCAGACAGCCCCCTTGCCCCGCAGTGGTACAGATTGGAAGGAGGAGGGGCCCACCATGGAGATCTAATGCTTGCCACGTGGATTGGGACTCAGGCTGACGAATCGTTTCACGAAGCGTGGAAGAGTGACACAAACGCAAGAGCCAAAGTCTACCAATCGCCGAAGCTTTGGTACCTCCGAGTGACGGTTCTAGAAGCACAAGACATCCTCCCCATAACGACGTCGTTAAAGGAATACACTTTCCAACTAAAAGCCCAGCTCGGATTCCAAACCCTCAAGACCAAACCATCGGTGACCAAAAACGGCACTGCGTTTTGGAACGAAGACATGGTTTTCGTCGCCGCCGAGCCTTTCACCGAACACCTGGAGTTCACACTCGAAATACGACAACCGAAAGGCCCCAACCCGCTTGGAAACGCCGTCGTTCCGCTCTCCGCCGTCGAGAGACGAGTCGACGACAGAAAAGTGGCTTCCCGGTGGTTCTCCTTAGAGAATAACAATATCGACGATAAGATCATGAAGAGGAAATCGTTTACTAATAACAGAGCAAGAGTCCATCTCCGCCTCTGCTTTGACGGAGGGTATCACGTGATGGACGAGGCGGCACACGTGGCCAGCGATTTCCGACCCACCGCCAGGCAGCTCTGGAAGCCCCCTGTCGGCACCGTAGAGCTCGGAATCATCGGATGTAGAAACCTCGTCCCTGTCAAAACATCCGTACCCGACGGAAGGGGATGTACGGACGCCTACTGTGTCGCCAAGTACGGCCCTAAGTGGGTCCGTACCCGTACGGTGTCGGACAGCCAGGATCCGAAATGGAACGAGCAGTATACCTTCCAAGTGTTCGATCCCTGTACGGTTTTGACGATCGGGGTTTTTGATAGCTTCGAGTCTTGCGAGATGGACGGCTGGAAAGACGCCACGCGTCCTGATTTCCGCATTGGTAAAGTTAGGGTGAGGATTTCTACTTTGGCCGCGGGGAGAGTGTATAGGAATGTGTACCCGTTGCTTTTGTTGTCGCCAGCTGGGATGAAGAAAATGGGTGAGGTGGAGATTGCTATGCGGTTTGTAAGGGTGCGTCCTACGATGGATTTGCTCCACGTGTACTCGCAGCCCTTGTTGCCGTTGATGCACCACATCAAGCCGCTCGGGGTTGTCCAACAGGACGCGCTGAGGAATGCCACCGTTAAGATCGTCACCGAGCACTTGTCCCGGTCGGAGCCACCCCTTCGGCGTGAGGCCGTGCTTTACATGCTCGACGCAGACTCGCATACATTCAGTATGCGAAAGGTGCGTGTGAATTATTTCAGGATCATTAATGTGATTGGTAATGTGATGGACATTTTCAACTGGGTGGACAAAACGCGCACATGGAAGAATCCGACTGCTACGGTGCTCGTGCATGCGTTGATGGTGATGCTAGTGTGGTTCCCTGATTTGATCATCCCGACGCTTGCGTTTTATGTGTTTGTGATTGGAGTTTGGAATTATAGGTTCCGATCAAGGGACCGGCTTCCCCACTTTGACCCGAAACTCTCTTTTGTGGAGACCGTCGATGGTGAAGAGCTGGACGAGGAATTCGACGCGCTGCCAAGTGTGAGGCCGCCCAATGCAGTTCGAGCGAGGTATGATAAGCTGCGGATGTTGGGGGCTAAGGTGCAAACAGTACTAGGGGATGTAGCCACGCAAGGTGAGCGCATCCAAGCATTGGTGACGTGGCGTGATCCACGTGCCACGGCAATATTTGTGGGATTGTGTTTCATCGTGGCAATGATATTGTACTTGGTCCCATCAAAGCTGGGTATGATGGCTTTTGGATTTTATTATTTCCGCCATCCCATCTTTCGTGATCGAAATTCGCCTTCCCCTGCTTTGAACTTCTTTCGAAGACTTCCTTCTCTCTCTGATCGGATAATATGATACGATAATATGACTCTCCTTATCTTATTCTGTCGGCCCATCGGTACTCCTGGCATTTTTGTTGTGTTCACTTAACTTTTCTTCTTTATATAATGTAACTTCTTAATGAGTTAATAATATGCGTGTATTAATCTAGCACGAGAGCTCAAATTCAAAAATTGATACATGACTTCGCATATATATATGTGATTTCAGTTTGATCACCATATAATTTCTAGTAGTTTATGAATAGGAAATCTACTAAATTGAATTGTATTAATCTCCTACGCAGCATAAAGATGAGAATAAAAAAAAAAAAAATCGAAGCCACATTTTTTTAGTTTTTAACTTATTTTGTTTCTTATTTTATATATCATTTCAAGAATCGTCTTAATTCCAGCACAATTCGATTAATATATCTTTTTTCGTATATTTGTGTAACATTATTTGTTTATGTGTGTGGTAATTAGTTTACTTAAGTATAACAATCAGAGAGTATTTGGTACACAGTAATCATCAGTAGGAATTATATTTCTGAGAATGTGATGGGGGTAATATAATTTTTAAAAATAATATATTAGTGTGTTTAGTTTCATACATGAATCTTATCTCAAATTCTCAAAAATAATGCATTATTGTGTTTGGTTGTGCATAAAAATGTTGTATATTAAAAAAATCGAAAAAGAAAAAAAAAAGGAAGGATCGATGTGAACAAAATTGTTTTCTCTTAGTATTGACACACAACAATTCAGTGGCTGGGGAAGGACTAGCAAAACCACCACAATTCATAACCATCAATACATTCATTCATGGCGGTTTCATCAACCATGTCTCATCAAAAACTGACCTCCTTCCTTATCTGATATCATCAAATCTATCCTCCTAAAACACCACAATTTCTTTTGATCTGGTGCTAAATCACAGATCAGAGAATATCAGCGCGAAATTAAGCAAGATTGGGGCTGAGTCCACTCAATTTGTCTGTGATGTGTTGGGTTTCACGTGACGTAGACCGGCGAGGTCTAGGTTTCGCATGACGGAGGGCGGTTGGGTTTGGGTTTCGTGCGACGGAGACTGGCGAGGTCTGGTTTCGTGAGACGAAAGGTACTTGGTCTGGGTTTCGCACGACGAAGGCCGACAAGGTCTGGATTTCGCGGGACAGAGAGCGGAGGTGTTTGGGTTTTGTTCGACAGAGGTCGTCGAGGTCTTGAGTTTCGTGCAGCGGAGGTCAACGGTGGCACGAGGCTAGGCTAGTCGTGGGTTGTTGGCAGGGGGTTGGGTTGGCCGTGGGACACTGCTGTTGGACTGGGTTGGCCGGAGCATGTGAGACGATGGTTATGGTGATAAGTGTAGTGGTGTGGCTTTGATAATGGTGGCTATTGGCTGTTGGTGAGATTCTCACCTTCTTAATATTCCTGAGTATTTAAATAACACTGCGTTGGTTGTTATTAAGATTATCTTAATTTGGGTTAAAGTGAATTTTATAAGGTTAATTTTCTTGAGAATATAAAAATTGTAATTCTTATACTAAACATAAGAATGTGAGAAAATTCTCATTCTCATATAAAAATTACTGCTTACTAAACGTTCCTTAAAAAAATAAATAAAAGCACAACACGTGTAATATTGAGTTTGTACTTAAGTAAACTACATTACATTTTTCATATTGCTCAGTTGCTAGACTCAAGACTTTTACCTACCACTTTATTGTATTTTAATTTAAAAACAAAATACTATATGCTTGGGAAATTATATGTAGTTGTATTGTAAACTAGTTGAAAAATGATTTAAAGAGTTCCAACAATCACTTCATACTTTAATGACAGAAGTCTTTAAATAGTTCAAGCAGAACTAATTATTGAACAAAGTGTTCATACCTACGAAATACAATAAAATATCATTTTTGGTTCATTACTACAAAATAAACAAACACTTTAATGGTATTGGACTAACTTCATAGTTAGTAACTTGATTATTGGCCGGAAAAAACTTCCAATTGATTAAAATAAAGGTTTTACCGTATTTTTGGCAGGATTGGGGGCAGACAAAGAACAAAACTTTTCCTGATGATTAAAAAAGGACCAAAATCCAAGAGGACAACAAATTTTCAAAGCAAAACGCAAAAGAAATATGTTAGAGTTAAAATTAGCATCCTGATTACAACCGTACACATGGACAGAGTTTGAAAAAATAAGTCGACTGAAATTGACCGGAGAAGTGATTGGCTTAAGAGATGGCTTCGACTGGAGAAGCACGACGACAGGTTTAGTGAACATGGTTTAGTGTGTGGGATGATATTGTGTAATTTGGGTGTTATGACCTTTTTACCGAACATGGTTTAGTGTGTGGGATGATATTATGATTATGAACATATTTTATTTTATTTTGAGATATTACATTCAAAACAGGTCACTTTTAGCTTTGGAGAGTGTTAGAACAGGTTATTTTATTTTATTGTGATTATGAGCATATTTTATTTTATTTTGTAGAGTGAAGGTTAGAGAAAATTGTTCCAAAATTAAATGTAAATTTATCTTGATTTAAATGAGTTTAAAATAAAGATTAATCACCAATTTTCTTAAGCATGATCTTAGAGATAAATTAGAATTCTATTGAGATTCTAATAGGTACTCTACAAACAAGTGGTAGTAGAAAATTAGAGAACACAATTTTTTCATATACACATATAGTGGCTAATTTTATAGAGAAAAAATAAGGGAGAAAAGCTCTTCTAATTCTCAGTTCCGCTATGTACATGTGTTGGTGGTAGAGGAAGACACTAATCACGTTGTCTTTTAAGTTGTGCCCACACACAGAATCTTCGTAGAATCAAGAAATAGACGAGAAAGATTCGTAATGATTTGAGAACCAGAGTTTTAGATTGTTTGTGATCAAATACTCAAGTTATCATCCTAATTAGTTGCTAGAAATATTGATAATTAATTAGATTAATTATCATTTAAATTAGCATATAAATTAATATATTCTATAGTATTCATAAAAGTTTTGAGAAATTTTTTATTTGTACTCAATCTGTGCCATCACATTTTTGCATCTGAAATCGTTTCATAAACCAATAGTCTCTCCATTGTGAACCTCTGTGGGTTGTCTTTGTAGTAGTTTTGTGCATATCTAAGTTTGTGGTTATTGTAGATTTAAGTTTAAAATTTGGTTTGGATATGAGAGTTTGATTTTTGTAGTTTCAAAAATTTTTGTGTAAATATGGTTGGCCATTAGATTTTCGAGTAAATACAATATTTTCAGGTAAATATAGTATTTACTTGTTGTTAGTACTAGCAATTAGAGTTTTGAGTAAATATGATATTTACGTGTCGCAAGTGTGAGTGATTGGAATTTTTAGTAGATACGGTATTTACCAATGGCGCGATGTTGGCGGACATATTTTTTTGTTAAATATGTTACTTTTGAGTAAATATGGTTAGTGACCGAATTTCTGAGTAAATTTTATATTTAGGATAAACATGGTATTTACTCGTCGCTGGTGCCCAACGATTAGAATTTATGGTAAATACGGTATTTTGTCAGTCGTCGGTGCCCGCAGATAAATTTTTAGGTAAATATGGAATTTATCGGATGTCAGCATCAATGATTGGATAAATACGGTATTTTGTATAAATATAGTATTTACTCATTTACGTTGGTGGCCGAATTACAAAACAAATACAATATTTACCAGAACCTAAAGGAGAGAGGTGCGGGAAGGAGAAAACTTTGAAGGATATTTTGAAGTTTTTTAAGAGTACATTAGAAACCTACGATATTTAATAATGCTATTTACTGTCTATTTAAAAAGGAATATGTTATAATTTACTAAATACGCTATTAAATATGCTATTTCAGTCCCCCCTCCTTGTATAGAGAGGGATACAGAATTCCTAAAATATCAATAATAATAAATTAATATAAAATTTTAAGAATGTTGCGAAATAACATAATTCTGGTAAATTACAAATGCCACACTATCAGAATACCAAAAATGCTCCCATTAAAACAGCCCTGTACGAATCCAGAGTCGTTCTCGTTCTCGATCTCTTTTAGTGATGGCGACTTAGTTTGGTGATGGCGATCGGTGACTTTTTCCTCCTCTCTCTCTCCCCCTCCCCCCCTCTCTCTCTCTCTCTCCTTCTCTTTTTCTCTCTCGTCATAGATTGTCTTCTTCGGCTACGACCATCGCGAGTTGTCATAGATTTGTCATCTTCTCTGATGATGGCCAATGCGATTTGCAGTCGATAGGATCGCGATTTCATTGTCTTTAGCCTCATTAAAGCTTGAGAACAAATCTTCTCTCTCGTCGAAGGAGGAGAGCACGAGGGCTATTTGATCCATGAGTAAGCGCTAAAATTTGGCCATTCCATGTCTGTTTGGTTGTTAAGAAAGTGCTGGAAATAGAGGGAAAATGGAGTGATATGATTTTTTGTATGTGTGGAATTTTTAATTTATTTGTCGATTTGATTTTCTTTTTGTTTGATTGTCTGGATCTGATTTTGAATGTGGTGAATTAGTGACTCACATGGTAAATTGGTGATTTACATTGTAAATTGATTATTTACATGGAAATCCATCGTTTATCAAAATACAGAAATTGAATTTATCTCGTAAATGAAGAATTTACCCGATAAATGTTACATTTACGACATAAAATTTTATAAAGGTAAAATTGAAACACAAGATACTGAAATTTTAAAATATGTTATTTATTTTCAATGTTGATAAATATAGTATTTAGCATAAAACGGTTTTACAAAATGGTCTACATATTAGAATTTTCCATCCTAACAACGTTTTGAAGTCCAGAAAATAGACCCACAATTATGTGGTAATCTGTCAAACAGATATTTCTATGAAGATTACGAGATTAAGTCTGACGAAATCAACATCTACGATTCCACGTCGGCGTATTAACATAAGCTTAATCATAAAGATCAGATCCAAATATTCATGCATAAGTATCACGTATCGAATACATCTAATAAGGATCATAATACGCGATCCTTATCCAAAAACATAAAAAGATAAAATTTGGTTTATCCAAGTCGAAATGTTCTCTACCTAGGGAAGAATATTATTGATTACTCATAAAAAGATAAAAATCTTGTACGTTTTGCATAACTTGCATGGTTAGTAAACATATTTTT